TTTGCAGAGACGCCTCTTCCACTCGTGGCCACGTACGGGTGTCTTCACCCCAACCTCTTGATGGGGCGAAGGGCTCTTGGCAGGCGCGGCAAGGGCCCTCGGGAGCGATCGAGGGCGTTCGACACTTGGAGGTGGCACGCGATGCCCTCTCCACGCCAAACGGCAACCGCTCGTGGAAATTGTTTCGAGATGGATCGTGAAGTGTGAGCAATTCATCGCCATCGGCAGCAGCAACAGCATCGGCAGCGGTGGCAGAATGGGTATCAGCAGCGGGGCACGGGAGTTGTTGGCAGAGACGTTAGTGATGATGTCTTTGACAGGAGGCGCGTAATGACGAATCGCTTCTTCGTGGATTAAAATCGGGTGTGTTGTGGTCCGTACCGTTACGATTCATGCAAATTACGGTGTGGGCAAATGTCACCTATCAGGCTAATGGAGTAAAAAAATTTGACGTGCCTAGACAAATGATTCTGACAGTATTATCGAGGCAGACAATACAAACGAGACAGTTCAAACAAGACGGGACAAACGAGACCGATAGGACATGTGAGGCAGTGGTAAACTACCCCTGGTGGCTCACCACCACTTGCCTGTCGACACAACTGTCACCACAACTACACAACCACTTTTAATAACAACAACAACCCCCACTCTTTATTTTAACCGCTGTCATCTTGTGTACAATTTTATAATTATTGTAAAGCGCCTTGCACCAAGGCGCTGCTATATAAATCTACGTGAGCTAAGACGAGGATAGGAAAATGAGCAAAAGGGTCAGGAGAGATGAGGATGGGTGGCAGCATCAGGCCCTCGACGCTGCTGCTCGGAGCGGCGTCCGTTTTCACAGTGGGCGTGGAGAGGAGTTCAGAGTGGGAGTGGCCACACAGAAGCAGCATCATGTACGGGGGGTGGGTGGGTTGACTACGTATGGCGCGAAAGAAGTTCAAGGTACATACAAGTAATCGAATTAAATCGTGACAATTTATCGAATCTAGGGCTGTGAGGATTCATTTTCGTACCAACCATCAACATTCACGATTACGATGAGAATCTCTACTCCACCGCATTACTGCATCACAGCACTGCTCAGCCGTGCAGCTTAAGAAAGTAGTTCGTCAACGACCGCTCAGAAATTGCGTTATAACGGTGTGCGCGTCCCGCGTTATAACGGCACGGGTCCCGCGCTCTGCGTTGAGCGAAACGTGTTCCCTTGCGGAAGAAGCGCGTGAGAGCGAACACCGCATGTTGTAGCGTGAACGCCGCCGCGCGTTCGGCGAGGACTTTCCCTACAGGGGAAACTGTGTAGCCGGCTCACTTGCACCCAAGTTAATTTGGCACATTTCGTTACGAAATCTTCAAGTGCACTCAAAAGTGATGTTGACCTTCGAGTGCTTTGTCGCTAAATCAATGCTTCGGAGGGCCGGGTTTGACGGATCGCGCAGAGATCACTGCGCCCTGTGAGATGTTGAGCCCGCTTGGGCTGCGAGGTGCGGCCACGAGATGGCAGTGCAGCGGTGGATTGTTGAATCTATCTGTGCGGAGCTTTGAGCGTCGCCTCGTATTTGCGGTGGTCTCATTTTCTCGGGGTTCTGGGGAAGCCGGACTCTCACAGCATGTGGCTAAACATCCCGATACAGGACTTTCCTGCTTGTGAAGTAGTTAGCGCCACAGTGGCGAGATGTTAACTCCATCGCCTGGTATACAGGAGGTCGTGGGTCCGATCCCGACCCTGACGCCTGCTGCTGTATATTTGGAGTTTGCGTGTCTCCCTCTCTCTGTGGTGAGATGTTAACTACCTTGCCTGGAATAGAGGCATAAGATTGTCTTTTTTATGGCTGTTGTGCAAAAAGTTAAATTTTTAAATTAAACAGATTCTCGATTATCCGTGCTAATGACGGGCAGGTTGGCCGCAGATAATTGAAAATCGCGGATAATCCAAGAATATAACCGTTTTTTGCGGATCTCTATTCCAAAAACCACTAATTAACATGATGTTAAGTATGAAAAATAAGAATAGGTTGAACCCTTTCTGGCAATAAAGCAGGCGTTAAGATGTTCAAACACCGAATAGAAATCATTTGGAAGGAATAAAGTCTGCATTAACCACAACTACTTGTGATGAACATGCAATCAAACACGTGGCTCTGATAATATTTGCATTGTCGTTGAGACTGATTGGCCTACATCAGAGACAGCAGCCTCCTTCATGGCCCAGTCTCACCACCAGTGTCAGACCAGACACTAATGCCAAAAGGTGAACAGCACAAACTCAAAACCACACGTACAGTGAGGGAAAAAAGTATTTGATCCCCTGCTGATTTTGTACGTTTGCCCATTGACAAATAAATGATCAGTCTATAATTTTAATGGTAGGTTTATTTGAACAGTGAGAGACAGAATAGCAACAAAATCCAGAAAAACGCATGTCAAAAATGTTATAAATTGATTTGAATTTTAATGAGGGAAATAAGTATTTGACCCCCTCTGCAAAACATGACTTAGTACTTGGTGGCAAAACCCTTGTTGGCAATCACAGAGGTCAGACGTTTCTTGTAGTTGGCCACCAGGTTTGCACACATCTCAGGAGGGATTTTGTCCCACTCCTCTTTGCAGATCTTCTCCAAGTCATTAAGGTTTCGAGGCTGACGTTTGGCAACTCTAACCTTCAGCTCCCTCCACAGATTTTCTATGGGATTAAGGTCTGGAGACTGGCTAGGCCACTCCAGGACCTTAATGTGCTTCTTCTTGAGCCACTCCTTTGTTGCCTTGGCCGTGTGTTTTGGGTCATTGTCATGCTGGAATACCCATCCACGACCCATTTTCAATGCCCTGGCTGAGGGAAGGAGGTTCTCACCCAAGATTTGAAGGTACATTGCCCCGTCCGTCGTGCCTTTGATGCGGTGAAGTTGTCCTGTCCCCTTAGCATAAAACACCCCCAAAGCATAATGTTTCCACTTCCATGTTTGACGGTGGGGATGGTGTTCTTGGGGTCATAGGCAGCATTCCTTCTCCTCCAAACACGGCGAGTTGAGTTGATGCCAAAGAGCTCCATTTTGGTCTCATCTGACCACAACACTTTCACCCAGTTGTCCTCTGAATCATTCAGATGTTCATTGGCAAACTTAAGACGGGCATGTATATGTGCTTTCTTGAGCAGGGGGACCTTGCGGGCACTGCAGGATTTCAGTCCTTCACGGCGTAATGTGTTACCAACTGTTTTCTTGGTGACTATGGTCCCAGCTGCCTTGAGATCATTGACAAGATCCTCCCGTGTAGTTCTGGGCTGATTCCTCACCGTTCTCATGATCATTGCAACTCCACGAGGTGAGATCTTGCATGGAGCCCCAGGCCGAGGGAGATTGACAGTTCTTTTGTGTTTCTTCCATTTGCGAATAATCGCACCAACTGTTGTCACCTTCTCACCAAGCTGCTTGGCGATGGTCTTGTAGCCCATTCCAGCCTGGTGTAGGTCTACAATGTGTCCCTGACATCCTTGGAGAGCTCTTTGGTCTTGGCCATGGTGAAGAGTTTGGAATCTGATTGATTGATTGCTTCTGTGATCAGGTGTCTTTTATACAGGTAACAAGCTGAGATTAGGAGCACTCCCTTTAAGAGTGCGCTCCTAATCTCACCTCGTTACCTGTATAAAAGACACCTGGGAGCCAGAAATCTTTCTCATTGAGAGGGCCTCAAATACTTATTTCTCTCATTAAAATGCAAATCAATTTATAACATTTTTGACATGCGTTTTTCTGGATTTTGTTGTTATTCTGTCTCTCACTGTTCAAATAAACCTACCATTAAAATGATTTCTTTGTCAGTGGGGGATAATAGTGAGTCGACTCGAAAATTATTGCGATTTTTTTTATTTTGGCACGGCTCAATTGGGGGACATGAGCTTCCAACCCGATACCCTACAATGTACATTCGAGAACAACTTAACAGCCCACCAAAAAAAAATAATATCTCATCGTCCAGAATATAGTGAAGTGGGGTTTTTGCCGAGAGTAAAATGTTGTGAAGTGTATGAACATTGTGAATTATTATTATTAGTAAGTTAATTCTGTGGCCACCTTTTCTACGCACGTATGTTGAACTTCTTTCGCAACGTACGTAGGCAACGGTGCGAATCGGAGGTTCCAGGGGGGGTAAGGACAACAACTGTAAACAAATAAAAAATCGGTTCTCTATTCTTGCGTATGTCCAGATTGATTAGGGAGCGGCTGCCGATGGGATGGAACGCTTGCTGGGGGAGGTCTGCCACAGGAGATGGAGCGTGGTGGTCAGCTCGTGCGTGCAGCAGGCACTGGCTGGACTATTGCACCGCTGGGTCGTGAATTATGGCGGCGGCGGCGGCTTCTGGGAGCCCTTCATCCAGCAGTGGGTTGACCCTGGCTGCTGCTGCTGATGATGATGACGATGATGATGATGCATCTGAGCGGATATATCGGCTGTTTGGCAGAAAAACTGACAAAGCAAACTGTGGTGAGTGATTCCACACTCCAGGCTAGGCAACCGTGTTTGTAACGGGGATGAGCCAACTCTGTAAAAACACGGCCCGGAGCATCTTGTCTTCCTCTGGTGTCCCAATCATCAACCTCAATTAACCTCGCACACAAAAAAAGTGCACTTTTGCAAATCCACTCTGGAAAGGGCACTCACTCACTTGCGAAGAGCTCTGGAGGTCTCTCTGCGCCCTCAGAATAACCGAGAGGGCCCTTTAACGGACAACGTTAATTGGGGAAGATGGAAAAAAAAAAGTTTTTTTTGACGAAAATCAATTTCAGGATGTGCCGCGTGTGAGGGGCGTTGCGTGCAGGCCCGGGATGTGGAGACCCCCCCCTCTGCCGTGGCCGTATCGACGTTCGAGACGAGGTGGTTGGCGTGGGAGGGCTCTTCGAGGTCCAAGCCCAACCCCCGATCGTCCCGCCAGCCCACCTCGCCCAGCGCCGGTATAAAACCTCGATGCGATGAGCACCCAAGTCAGCGAGGCAGAGAAGGATCTCCTTGCCTGCCACGTCGGGTGAATCGTGAGAGTAAGTGAGCGAGACAGAGAGCGAGCGAGCGAAGGCGAGCAGGCGTACGCTACGAGGGCAGCGTCGTCCGGCGCGGGTGACCTTCTTGGAAGACGTGGTGAGGTCGATCGAGCCAGAGGGTGAGAGGAGGCGACGAGACAAGAGGCGATGGCGCCCCGCGGTGGCGCGACCGTTGCCTGGCTGGTGCTGGAGCTGCTCGTGCTGAGAGCTTCGGGCAGGTGAGACGGGAAGGGGCCTCGCTCGCACACACACACACACGCACTGGCCAAGGGAATATAACTCAAGAGAGCCGAAGGTTGGATCGGAAAGGAGGGAGAATGTTCCCCCCCCGCCAGTTTAATAATAATATTCATTTTCGTTTGTAAGGTGGCGCATTTAATCTGTAGATCCCACCGTTGCGCCACCGCCGTGTATGGAAAGCCAGGAAATAAACAGAACCTGCGCAGGGTAAACGGGCACTTTACAGAGGTGAGTTTTCGAGACAGACTTCGACTTGTACGTATGTTGGACTTCTTTCGCACCGTGCGTAGCCAACCGTGCTAGTCGGAGGTGCGGCGGAAGGACAACGACGCTAAACACAAAAAGCAGTTCTAAATAAATGAGTTTGTCAATCTAGACGCAGAAGTGCATTGGAAAGCGTGCGATGGCGGTGACCGTCCTTGCTTCGATAGCTGAGCCAAACTTGACATTTGACAGGGTTCCCATGATCGTATCGCCTCGAATGCGTCCCGTGTCGTGGGATCGCGAAAGCTCAGCAGCCGTACCTGGTTGGCTTGACCACTAGGTGTTGCAGGTGCGGCCACTGCCAGGTGTGGCCAGCAGTGCCGAGCGGTGGCGCAGAGGTTGTCAGTGCCGACTAGGACCCGAGTTCGATTCCCACTTTCAGCAAAACACAGTGAATATTACCTGAACCGTTTAATACGCAGTAGGCTTTCGCGACCAATATCATCCATGATACAGGTTTTTTTGTGGGGGTTAGATTACGTAAAAATATAAAAGTGTCGTTAAACCCGCCACCGCCCGACACAGCCAATGAGTAAAGTTTGCCACGTAAACAGAACGTGGCAATTCGTTACGAGTACAGCTCTCCAACACACCGGTGTGCTGTACTAGTTACGAATTGGCATGTTCTGTTTACGTGACAAGCCTTATGAATTGTCTTTGTTGGGTGGTGGCGAGTTTAACGACACTTTTAAATGTTTACGCGATCTCACCCAAACAAAAAAATCTGTATTGCGGATAATCTGAACCGGTCTTGGGCCTCCCGTAGCTCGACTCAGCCTCAAATGAGTACCTGGGGCGGTGTGTAAACATCATCACTAGGGAGACAAAGGCGGTCCGGCCGTGGTGCTGGCCACCCACCCCCTCGTGTGCCATGCCGACCTTCGTCGGTGCTACTCGCTAACAGCACTTGCCCCTAGCTGGAGTGTTACAGCGCCGTGGGGTTTCTCCGGCTTCTCTGCTTTGCTTTAAATGGAACTTGGGGAAGGATCCCAACGTAGCAGCACCCCGTCCTGAAAACCGTGTCTCGAGACTCAACGAGGCTTTCCCGGGTAACTCAAGGGCGACGTCGTTATTAATTCTAGATTTGAAGCTTTCGTGACTGCAAACCGTAACTGGACAATCTTTAATTTATTTTCAGTAGTTTACAATTAAAAAATTCGCTATGTTTACCCGGGAGTCTTAATGTGATGGACAAAGCGAACGCTCGCCCACTCCCTACCTGGTCTCTGGCTGCAAGGAACGCCCCGGGGAGATTCCTCTGGATTTTCTCCCTAGTTCTTCCGCAGAGTTTTTTTTCCGCGATAAATATTCTGCGCGAGGTTTCACAAATCTGGCTGTCGCCTGATGAAGCTGGTTGTAATTACTGGTGAAACGTCGTACTCAGATTATAAATGTTGTGGCTTTACTTTTCAACACACCGGTTAGTGCTGTACTAGTGACGAATTGTCACGTTCTGTTTACGTGACAACCCTTACTAGTTGGCTGTGTCGGGTGGTGGCGGCGGGTTTAACGACACATTTATATATTTAAGCGACCTAACCCAAAAAACCTCTATTATAGAAAAAAAAAATCACACCTCATCCTAACTTGTTCGACAATCAGCCGAGCAGTGTCTAAGAATCAAGCCATAGACTTTTGTCCACAGATTTCCATACGCAATGACAGTCACTGACATTGTGTGCATGTGTGTGCGTGTCTCCCCTACAGCATTCCATTTTCTTCAAGCACTGGGTAAGGACGTGTGCCACAATTCACCGTGGCCTTCACAGCACAACACTCACAGTGAAGGCCCCATGCTGCAATTAACGCAGCATTATAATCCATTCTCTGTGCACTGCTGGACGAGAGATGGTGGCGGCTTGGGGAAGCCTTCATCCAGCAGTGGATTGACCATGGGTGATGATGATACGTAGCGGTGTACTAATTTGCTGAACAAAATAAGAATAGGCTTTTCCCTTCATGGCAATAAAATAAGTGTTAAAATTTCGATTTAAAGCTTTCGTGACTGCAGGGATTCATCTTCTTGGTTCTTTCGGTAAAGTCACGTAGAAGGGAAGTAATAAAATAATACTAATAAAACATAATAAAATAATTCTCACGACGTTTCGGCCACAACACAAGCAGCCGTCCTCAGGTGAAGAACAGGTCTGTGTTCATTCAGACGCTGTCTTTCCGACAGCCCTGTTCTTCACCTGAGGACGGCTGCTTGCGTTGTGGCCGAAACGTCGTGAGAACTATTTTATTATGTTTTATTATTTATTATTTTATTACTTCCCTTCTACGTGACTTTACCGAAAGAACCAAGAAGAAGTGTTAAGATATTGAAATACCAAATACATAACTGTTGTAAGGCATCAAGTCTGTGTCCGCCACACATTTTTTTCATCACATTGATACTGGGAAAAAAAATACCCACAGATATTAATTTGCCATCGTTTGCTATTTTCTGTGACTTGCAGATCCATCACAACGATAACCACAACAACCCTACAGAGTGGTGAGTACTCTGAATTTAATTCACTGCTCAACTCTTGCGTTTCACTCCGGTCTTGCCGTTCATTCACTCCGATCCCCGAAGCCAGGGAGGTCGGCATCCCGTGGCTCCAAAACCGCGCGCGGCTAATTACCCACGAAACTTCACGGCTACTCGAATTGTAAATATCGTTGTGGGTTTACTCTCCAACACACAACCGGTGTAGTGCTGAACTAGTATACTACACTATACACTACACTATACACTACACTATAATAGTAAATGTTGTTGTGGGTTTTCTCTGCAACACACAACCGGTTAGTGCTGAACTAGTATACTACACTATATACTACACTATACACTACACTGTAATTGTAAATGTTGTAGTGGGTTTACTCTCTAACACACAACCGGTTAGTGCTGAACTACTATACTACACTATACACTACACTATACACGACACTATAATAGTAAATGTTGTTGTGGGTTTACTCTCCAACACACAACCAGTTAGTGCTGAACTAGTATACTACACTATACACTACACTATACACTACACTATAATAGTAAATGTTGTTGTGGGTTTTCTCTGCAACACACAACCGGTTAGTGCTGAACTAGTATACTACACTATACACTACACTATACACTACACTATACACTACACTATAATTGTACATGTCGTTGTGGGTTTACTCTCCAACACAACCGGTGTAGTGCTGAACCAGAAACGAATTGGGCACGTTCTGTTTACGTGACAAACCTTACGATTCGGCCGTGTCGGGTGGTGGTGGGTTTAACGACGCATTGATATTTACGCGATCTAACCCAACAAACAACAAACAACTTATTACGGATTATATTGGTGGCGACAGCCGACCTCGTGTTGAACTCTTTAAGGACCGCTTATCGACGTTCTTCGTTAAGGACACCGTCTTGGATATTAGAGTTTTTTTTTTTACCCAATTCGAAAAAAATTGCTCTTGATGAAAAAACAAGAATAGCTGTTTCACTCTTTCTGGCAATAAAACAGGAGTTGTGTTAAGATGTTCGAACACCAAATAGAACTCTTTTGCGAGGCATCAAGTCTGCATTAACCACACAGTACTTGTGGTGAACATGCAAACAGACATGCTCTGATGATGTCTGCATTAAATCTTGACTTAAAGCTTTCGTGACTGCAGGAATTCATATTCTTTGCGTCTTTCGGTAAAGTCAAGTAGAACAAAAAAATATAATAAAAAAATTTACAAAAAACTACGACGTTTCGATCGCAACACAAGCAATCGTCTTTGGTTCTTTCGGTAAAGTCACGTGGGTAGAAGAATAATAGATCACGACGTTTTGATCGCAACACAAGCAATCGTCATCAGGTGGGACAGCCACAGCAAGAAAAACTGTTGTGGCTGTCCCACCTGATGACGATTGCTTGTGTTGCGATCGAAACGTCGCGATCTATTATTTTTCTACCCACGTGACTTTACCGAAAGAACCAAAGAGTTTGGGTTCCTGCAGTCACGAAAGCTTCAAATCAAGATCACAAGCAATTATCATCAGGAGGACTTTACCGAAAGACCCAAATAAAAATGTATGCATTGTCTTTGAAACTAATTGGCCTACACCAGAGACGGCCTTCTCATCGTGGTCTTCTCCCGTCTGTCTTTTCAGCCGACGTATCATGTCCCAACCTGGCTCCTCCCTCCAACGGCAGCGTCCAGTGTCGCATCACTGTCGATGAGAAGTGAGTGACCTCCAGCTGACAGCTAACGCCATCACGCACAACAACAACAACAACAACCGCCATTCGCCACTAAGTGGCGGTGACGTCACCGCGGCGCTTGTGCCAGGCCATGTGCACCTTGAGGCCGGCAAAACAACCCCCTACCTCCTCGTCGGTGCCGGACGGGAACGCTGTGGTGAGCAGCAGTGCCATGGGGGGAGGACCAATTTAGATTGGCCATTCCCCCTCATGGCGTTTGTAGCCACCACAGCGGACAAATGGGTCTCTGGACGGGTGCGAGGGGCTGGTAAGCCCTCCACTTTGAATTCATTACCACTAAACCAAGAAGAAAATATCCATCACACACACGGCATCTCACACACAGCATCACACAAAGATCCCCCGTATAGCCTTAACAGACTGTAAGGGTAAGTGCTGTTAGCGAGCACCTATGAAGGCCAGAACAGTACACGAGGGGGTGGGTGGCCAGCACCACGCCCAGCCACTTTTGTATCCCCGGTGGCGATGTTTACAACACCGCATCGGGTATTAATTTGAGGCTCAGTTGACCTAGGGGTGGCCCAGGACCTGTTCAGATAATCATCACCGGTGTTGGCCGTGAGCTGGAATCGAACTCGGGTCACCGGGTTCGTAGCGCAGCGTAGCGCTGACCGCTACACTACCGCTCCCCACGGCATTACACACATACACAACAACAACAACAACCGCCATTCGCCACTAAGTGGCGGTGACGTCACCACGACGCTTGTGCCAGGCCATGTGCACCTTGAGGCCACGTGAAGTGTTGAATGCCAGCTGGCAGGAGGTCACGGGGCAGACCCAGGTGCCACGGGTTGACTGACTGACATGACCGAGACGACTGGCTGATGCACCACCTGTGCCCCCTACTGTACCAACTTGCTGTACTTTAGCCACCCGGCGCTCCGCTCGTTGTTGTGAGCGTCACTCCTCCGCCCTCCGTTGTTGTTGGAGGGCGACTGCCTCCAACTGCCCAGTAGCGTCCTTCACGAGTCTCCTCCACAGAGGCCAAACATACACACACAGCTACACACACACACACACAGACAGCTTCACACACACACAGCATCACACACACACAGCATCACACACACACACACGGCTGGGTGGCTGGAGAGAGGGACAGATCAACAGTCCCATCCCTGACAATCGAGCTTGAGTTCGATTGTCACGAAGACAACCACTGCTGCTGCTGCTGCTGCACCTGAATCTGGTGCCCCTGGCGCTACTGGCGGTTGCAATGCTGATGGTGCTCGTGGGCTCTACACCCCCCCTCTCCCCCCCCCCCCCCCCCGCTGCCCCTTGTAGAGTGTGCTCCCCGGCATGCCGGACCGGCTTCGTGCTGGACCCCAACGCGGCCGCCACGCGCTACACGTGCCGCACCGCGGAGGGCGTCTGGTACCCATCCGACACCTTCCCGTCGTGCCTGCGTAAGCGCATGCACTCTCGCACGCACGCACTCACGCACGCTCACGTCAAGGAGCATAAACCATCATCATCGCTCAAACTCTGGTCATCCTCGCAGCAGCAGCAGTGGCGGCTTTTGGCCCCGGCCATCGAACTAAGGATGCGTCGCGCGCTTTCAGAGGGCAGTGTTGAGTCAACGGGTAGTGTTAGTCTATGGGCAGTATGTGTGTATTTTGAACTTCTATCGCACCGTACGTAGCCAACCGCGCTAATCGGTGGTGGGCGGAAGAGCGTTCCAGCAGAAGCAGCGCGTCTGAAAACGCGGCGATGCCGGCGGCCCGTCATTGTTCGACGGCCAGGCAGAAGCCGCTGCCGCTGGGACGATGACCGGAGTTGGCGCGCGATGATGATGATGATGGTTTACGCTCCTTGACGAGATCAGCCAAGGTGTCGTGGTTCGTGTGTGGCGAGCGCGACCTTCTAAAGCAGCGAGTGCCCACGCGGTGTGGCTTGCCCCGGGCCCCGCATCCCCCCCCCCCCATCTATAGACGATCCTGGCGAGGTGCCTTCCGCGGGTTCTAACCACGGTGCCAACCCTCTCTGTGCCCCCCCCACCGCCTCCTGCTCCCCACCCCGCCGCCCCTTCCCCTCGGCAGCGTTGTGCTTCGGCTCGTTGGACGGCTGCCAGAATGGGGGCACGTGCGTGTGGCCCGACACGTGTCGGTGCGCCCGTGGCTTCGAGGGGTCGCAGTGCGAGAAAGGTGAGCGCGGCGCGGTGGTGACGCGAGACCTCGCCCCCCCCCCCCCCCCGCCGGATGACGTCGGAGATGAGCGGACCGTCGTGCCTGGCTCGTGTCCGTCTCTGCACGTTAAACCAAAACTTAACAAACCATAAAAAAAGTACGCTTAATTTTTTTTTAACGCAACCCATCGGCCTCCGCGGCCTTCCGGGAGCGTACAATTTCAGCAGTCATTGCGTCGGCACGAGCAGCAGCTCCGTAACGAGTGCACCGGTGCACCGCTACACGCGAGACGAGGTTTCAATCTCGCGTCACTGACGTATGCGCGAACGAGCTGACGCTCCTCGGCCGTGCGGACCGATGCGCGCACGCCACCAAGTTAGCCAACGGCCCGACGTATGAACTCGCGCAGCCACAAGCGCGCGCTAATGTGCCAATGGCGTGGGCGGCGGCATCGGCACGTTCGCCGGTGGTACGACGGCTACGACGACTTGGAAGCGCGTAGCTTGACCCGCTCTCTCCTCTCCCATCCTTTCTCTTCCCACCGTCAGCCGCGCTCTGCCAGGCGCCGTCCTCGCCCCTGGGCGGGCGCAGCAGCTGCCTGGACGACGGCGGCGACTTCCTGATCTGCACGCTGGCGTGCGACGGCGGCACCCGCCTGGCGTCTTCGCGCGTCTACGTGTGCGACCACGCCACGGGCGCGTGGACCCCCCAGCTGCCCGGCGACGCCTCCGCGTTCCCCGACTGCCTCAACACGACCGACTCGTGCGAGCAACCGCTGGCGCCGCTCAACGGCCAGATGGCGTGCAACGTGTCGGCCGACGGGCTCCAGCAGTGCTTCCCGACGTGAGCACACCCACATTCCCCGTAGAGCCTCCTAGAAATCTCGTAGAGCGCCGGCGACATTGTCGGCCGATGGGCTCGAGCGGTGACGTGAGTCGCGCGATTCCTCCCTCTCCACTGCTCCCGCGTCCCGATCGAGCCTCCTAGCAATGTCCTCTCCTGCGCCCCCCCTCCCCCTACGCTCCGCAGCTGTGACGCCAGCTACAGCTTCGCCGAGGGTTACTACGTGGCTCCCGTCTACAGCTGCGTCAGCGGGCAGTGGTACCCACCCGGCGGCATCCCTGACTGCGTCCGTGAGTAACCGCTGCCTCTTTCTGTCTCTCTCTTGCCGCTGCTGGCGCCGTGACGCGACCATGACGGACCGCGCAAGCGAGTCGCCGATCGTGGCGGGTATTAGCCAATCGCGAAAGAAGGGGGGGCGGCGTTTCACACGACGCCACGTCACGCCAACCAATGGGATGACTCGATCCCATCGGTTCGCTTGCCAATGAATGAGACACGGCGATTATCCCTCGATGAATCGGTACTTTTATCGCGATCTCCGCTCGCCGCGGCGGCAGGGGCTCGCGGTGCCGGATCGGCGGCCGCACCGGTTAATACCGCGGTGGGCGCGTGCGTGGATATTATAGATCCCAATACGGGACCTTGCCAGTGTCAAAATATAAAAATAGGTTTTACACTTTCTTGAAATAAAACAAGTGGTGTTAATATGTTAAAACAGGTGTTAAAGTAAAACAGGTCTTAAGATGTAAAAACAGGTGTTAACCCCATCGATAACCAACTTAGCCACTAGTACTATCCGTAACACTGATTATAACCCTACTAATAATCATATTAGCCACTAGCTACTAGTACTCGCCTTACCACTGACTCTAACCCTACCGATAACCAACAAGCTCCTGGTGCTAGCTCTCCCACTGAGTCCCTAACCCTACCGTTAAACCAACGGATCAACCAATCAAAAGTTCCCTAACTCTCACCTGGGCGGAGAGCGCTGGCCAAGCCGATCCACGGTGCCTCGGACGGCCTTCGAACCGCCGTCGATGGCAAGCAGGATAGTGAAACGAAAACTCACGTGTTCACACGCGTGTGCTCGCTCGCCTGCTCACACGCGCGCGCTCCGCTTGCTCGCGTGCATCCCGCGTGAAAAACAGTGTCGGCGAGCGCCATCGTCCCATCGGGCACCGGCTTCTGGTCGGGCGTGTTCGAGAGCGCCTCGGTGCCACCCTACATGACGGGCTACTGCACCAGCTGGGGCCAGCACCACTACCGCACGTTCGACGGTCGCATCTTCCGCTTCGACGGGCGCTGCTCGTTCCTGCTGGCGGGCGACTGCACCGACAACACCTTCCAGATCGTCGTCCACAACGATCGCGACTGCCCGGCCGGCGGGGCGCCGTGCGACCGCGCCCTCTCCATCCACGTGGGGCTGCTGAGCTTCGAGCTCCGGCGCCAGCCCAACGGCGTCCCCTCGGTGATGTCCAACGGCGAGGTGGTGGCGCTGCCCTCCACCATCTACGGGTTCGTGTTCCAGCAGTCCAGCAGCTACATCATGGTGCGCTCCTCCCTGGGCTTCGACCTCAAGTGGGACGGCTCGGAGGCGATCTACCTCAAGGTAGCCGCCCATCGTCGTCGTCGTCGTCGTGATCGTCGTTGTATCGTGGCCATTGTCGTGGTTATCATCAATATCATCAATATCATCGTCATCACCGTCGTCGTCATTGTTCTCATCGTTGGCCATGAAGCCGACCGAGCTATTGGCTTCTTTTTTTCAGAAGCGACCCAGCCACAAATGAAAGCTCAACGAAGTGACTTATCGCGTGGAAATTTATAACAGGAGCCAAATACTCGAAACGCGCGACGTTGATTCTAAATGTGGAGGGAAAAACCGGAGGACCCGGAGAGAAAAAATCCACGCGAACACGGATTAACGTGGGTCCCCACTCTTATGTTGGTTCCAGGCTAAAGCTGGTTCCTGTATAAAAATAATCCCATGTCCACCACTAGTCCCGGTCTCACAGCCGTTCCATTATTATGGCAATCCAAGTTTCACGTTGGTCTCAGTCTTCACGCTGCTTCCAGGCTAACGCTGGTCCTAGGCCGAAACTCGTCACAGTCCGTCATCGTCATGTCATCAATTTTATCGTCGTCGTTGCCATCGTCGTTGCCATCGTCATCGCCGTTCCTCATTGTTCTCATCGTCGGCCACGCGGGCAGCTCTGTGTGGTTATTACCGCGGGTAAAAAAAACTGAGAAACTGGGTTGTAGTCCCCCACCCCGCCCCCCCTACACCCCCACTGCCCCCCCCCACCCGCCCATTGTCACAACTGCCGCTCCGGGAGATGGAATCGGCGGTGTCGTCCCCCGCTCCTTCACTTCCGACGGGCACGGTCGGCTACGTTCGGTGGCGAAAGAAGGTCGACGCACACGCGTACACAGAGGGCGGACGATCTCAAAAGTTCCGCCTTGCCGCCGCCGCTGCCGCTGCGCTGGGTCCGTGAGCGCAGGTCGGCGAGGAAATGTACGGCAAGACGTGCGGCCTCTGCGGCAAGTTCGACCGCGACCAGGCCGACGACTTCTCGACGCGCCATGGCCTCACGCTGCAATCCGTCATCACCTTCGCCAACGCGTGGATCGAGCCCTTCGTGGGCGGTGAGGCCTGCCCTCCCCCCCCTTGCTCCGCACGGTGGCCCCCCACCCTCCCTACCCACTCGGTTCCTCCTTTTCCCCTCGTCGCTTTCTTCTTAGGTCGTTTCCTTCACTACGTTTCATTCACTGATAACTCAGTTTCATTCACCGATAACTCCGTTTCATTCCCCGGTAACTCAGTTTCATTCACCGGTAACTCAGTTTCATTCACTGATAACTCTGTTTACTTCACCTGTAACTCAGTTTCCTTTACGGATAACTCCGTTTCATTCACCCATAACTCTGTTTCATTCACTGATAACTCAGTTTCCTTTACGGATAACTCAGTTTCATTCACCGACAACTCAGTTTAATTCACCGATAACTCCATTTCATTCACCGATAACTCCGTCTCATTTACCGGTAACTCCTTGCGATGTCTCCCCATGTCAGCCTGCCCGTCACCGCGTCTTGCGACCGTCCTGTACCACCGCTTGACGTCTGCTCAGATCTCGCGCTCCTCCTCCCCACCCACCTCTTCCGCGTCATCATCGTCGTTGTCATCGTCGTCCGCACGCGCGCCGCTCTGGCCTTGACGGGAGGGACCTCTGGTGTCTCCGTGTCATCTCCGTGTCGTCTCCGTGTCATCTCCGTGTCGTCTGCTCGTGCGCGCGTGCAGAGGTGTGCATGGCCGGGCGTGAGACCAACTACTGCGGCTTCAGCTCCTGCAACGCGGGACTGAGCGTCCAATCGGCCGAGTTGGCGAGGAGCGCTGTCAATCACTGCCTCTACCTACTCAACACGCCCTGCCAGGAGGTGAGACGGCGCGGGGCCTACCCTGCCCCCATGCTGCCCCCCACTGCCCCGGTCCGGTCCAGTAAGAGCCCGAGCAGAACAGAATCGGAATATTTATTCAGACTGCCAGAGGAATCCGATGAGCTACGAAGCTTTATTTTTTCACACATGTCCAGTCAAGGGCACGTGTTCAGAACGTCACGACAATGAACAGGGACACAAGCACGATAAGAGTGCAAAGTACAGGAAAGGCAAGTGAATCACGAAAATAATATACAAATTAAACTATTTTTTATTTTAGCAGGCAAAGCTCCACTGAGCTATTGGCTTCTTTTTCAGTGGCTCATCGTCATTATCACGTGGACATTTTTCAGCAGCCAAATACTCTAAACACGCGACGTTGATTCGAAATGCGTAGGGGGAGGACCCGGAGTAAAAAATCCACGCAGCCACGGCTGAACATTGATCCCCAACTCTTATGCTGGTTCTAGGCTAAAGCTGGTTCCTGTGTAAAACTGATCCCAGTCCAGCACTAGTCCCGGTCGTTGCATTATTATGGCAGTCCCAGTCGGACTGCGGTCCAAGTTTTACGTTGGTCTCAGTCTTCACGCCGCTTACAGGCTAACACTGGTCCCCGTCCGATTCTCGTCAGCGTCTTGCGTTCCTCTTGGTATTATGCCACTGGCCCCAGTCTCATGTTGGCTCTAAGCTAAAGCTCGTTCGAGGCTATGACGCTGGTCCCAGTTAAGTAAAAGAAAGTAAAAAAACCGATCCATTCCCAAGCGTGTTCATCCGTGCGTGTGTCCACGTGCGCGGCCCAGGTGGTGGACTCGATCCCGTACTACGACGCGTGTCTGGACGACGTGTGCGCGTGCTCCGGCAACCAGCCGTGCGCCTGCGCCTCCATGGCCGCCTACTTCCAGGAGTGCACGCGCTTCGGCGTCTACATCGACTGGAGGGCGACCGATCGATGCCGTGAGTGCCGATCGGCGCCTCTCGGATTACCCCCCCCCCTACCTTCCCCGCACCGTCCTCGCCTTTCCCGCTCGCTGTCCCGTACGGTGACCCGCACGCTGTGCCACACGCTGTCCAGTACGCTGTCCCACACGCTGTCCCGTGCGGTGTCCCATACAGTGTCCCATATGGTGTCCCGCTCGCTGTCCCACTCGCTGTCCCGCACGCTTACCCACTCGCTGTCCCGCTCGCTGTCCCGTACACTGTCCCTTAAGCTGCCCCGCTCTGCGCTCCTCGCCGTACTTGTGATCTGGACCCGGGTGCTCAGCGGTTACGGTTTCAGCGTCTCGGACGCGGTCATTTGTGAGCCTCTTCCGAGAACCGGAGTTTTGAAACGAGGAGCCTCGGTCATATTCGTCGCGCCCCGCTGCTACGACGGGGTCACCGTGAGCCCCGGCAAACAAAGACTTGAGAGACGCCCGGTTTTCAGAGTTTTAAACCCAGCGTCTCAGCAGTGGTGGCCCACACAGGCATCGTGAACCCCCCCATGGACAGAGGTGGAACACAACCGAGTCCAAGAGATTATATCTCACGGTCTCGTCCATGATTGCTCACAAGCCTCCAACATGGCCTCTATGAACTTCCTGAGAGAGAGAGAGAGACGGCCAGTCTCAGGGCTTCAACCCAGGCTCCTAGCGGTGCTGGCACAGCCATCGTGAACCCCCCCCCCCCCCCCCCACCAACAAACCACCCAACCGCCAGGCCGTGAGAATCATCAGAATATCTATTTACACTGGAGGAATCTGATGAGCTACCAAGCTTTTTCTTTTTTATCACGGAGGTCCGGCCAGGCGAGACCACGAGCCTGCCGCCACCGCCCGTGTCCTCATGCGCGAACCTCTCCCACCCTCGCCCCCCCCTCCACCCACGTCCAGCCATGGTGTGCCCGGCCGACATGGTGTACGACATGTGCGGCTCGGCGTGCCCGCGGACCTGCTTCGACACGGTGTACGACTGCGAGGACGACCACTGCGTGGACGGCTGCCACTGCCCCAACGGCACCTTCCTGTACGACGGCGCCTGCGTGGTGCGCGAGTCCTGCCCCTGCCTGCTCATGCGCACCGAGTACCAGCCCGGCTCACGGGTCACACAGGACTGCAACGAGTGGTGAGTTCCCCCCCCCCCCACTCCACCTTGCTGATCTCGTCACGGAGCGTAAACCATCAACAACAACAAGCGCCATTAGGCGTTGTCAACACGGCGCTTGCGCCAGGCTATGTGCACGTGTGACCTACAGCCATTGATCTATGTAAGACAAGAACAACGGCAAACTAATGTGCGAAGTTGGAGCCAGAGAAATATGCACTAACTTGTGTTCGTGTGCGTTCGTGTGTGTGTGCGTTCGTGTGCGTTCGTATGTGTGTGTGTGTGCCTGTGTGTGTGTGTGTTCGTGTGTGTGTGTCCCCGCAGCGTGTGCATGTACGGAATTTGGCACTGCACCCAAAACATCTGCGACGGTGAGTGGAGAGTGATTAATCTGAAAGTCGTGCTCACATCGTCCGTAATCAAGTATTTTAGAGAGCGTTAATGTAAATGTGTCGTTCACCCGCCACCACCCGACGCAGCCAATGAGTGAAGGTTTGTCACGTGAACAAAACGTGCCAATCAGCTACCAGTGTGATAACGGACACATTTGTATTTACGCGATCTAACCCAGATATTACGAATAACATTGGTCGCGAAAGCCTACGACTACTACGACTACTACTATGACTATTTCGAGTGCTACTTCGATGACTACTACTACGACTACTACTATGATGACTACTACTACTATGAGTGTTCATCGTAATTCGTAGGAGCGCGCCAGGCACCGGGGGGGGGGGGGGGGGGGATTTAACTCGCGACTTCGTCAGCGTCAATTAGAAACTCCCATGGAGTGTTCCCCGATGTTGTCGGATCTCGCACAAGCTAAGCAGCTCCTCCATCTCCTCTTGCCACCTCCACCTCCTCCCACCTCCTCCTTCCACCCCCACCTCCTCCCACCTCCATCTCCTCCACCTCCTACCTCCTCCACTTCCTCCTCCCACCTCCTCCTTCCACCTCCTCCCACCTCCACCTCCTCCCACTTCCTACCACCTCTTGCACCTCCTCCCATCTCCGCCACCTCCGCCACCTCCTCCACCACCTCCTCCGCCACCTCCTCCATCACCTCCTCCACCACCTCCTCCATCACCTCCTCCACCACCTCCTCCGCCGCCTCCACCTCCTCACACCCTCACCTCCCACTTCCTCCCACCCCCACCTCCTCCCACCTCCTCCCACCTCCACCTCCTCCACCACCTCCTCCACCACCTCCTCCGCCGCCGCCTCCTCCACCACCTCCTCCATTACCACCTCCACCACCTCCTCCGCCGCCTCCTCCACCACCACCTCCACCACCTCCTCCGCCGCCTCCTCCACCACCACCTCCACCACCTCCTCCGCCGCCTCCTCCACCACCACCTCCACCACCTCCTCCACCACCTCCTCCACCACCACCTCCACCACCTCCTCCGCCGCCTCCTCCGCCCGCGCAGCTGTCTGCTCGGTGACCGGCGGAGGCCACTACCTGACGTTCGACGGGCGCACGTACGACTTCTTTGGCGACTGCACGTACACGGCCGTGAGGAACCTGGCGCCCGACGACCTGGCCTTCAACATCGACGTGGAGTACTACCAGTGCAGGTGAGCACGGGGGCCTGCGTACGGTGCGGAAGAAGTTCAATGTGCGTGCGTGTGCGTGTGTGTTTGTGTGTTTGTGTGCGTGTGTGTTTGTGTGCGTGTGTGTGTGCGTGTGTGCGTGTGTGTGTGTGTGCGTGTGTGTGTGTGTGTTTGTGTGTGCGTGCGTGCGTACTTCTACTGGTCGGGACCACTAGGGGTGGAAAATGCTACGAGTGTCCACCGTGGGTTTGTCAACCATGACCAGTGTTCATCATGACCAGTGTCAACCACGGGCAGTGTCCACCATGGGCAGTGTCCATCAATCAGTTTCAAAGAAAACGCATCTATATTATTATTATTATCGGAGCATGTTCGTTTGCATGTTTTTGCCACAAGTACGTGCAGCTGATGCCGGCTCGATTCCCTTGCAAAAGGCATCTTACTGGGCGTTTGGACGCCTTAGCACAACTCCTGTTTTATAGCCAGAAAGGAGTAAAAACCTCTTCTTATTTTTCACACTTTGATACCAGCAAAGAAGGTCCCCTATAGATAGCATCTCGAGACTCGGCAAGGACTCTCCTGGGCAAAGCAAGCGCTGCGATAATAATGACGACGATCGCAGTGGTGGTGGCGGTGGCGGCGATGATGACCGAGACTCTAACCCGTTGCCGCCCCAGCTCGGGAGCCAAGCGGCTGAATGCGGTGCACGTGACGGCGGGAGACAAGACGGTGACGCTCGCTCAGGACCTCATCATCACGGCCACCGACTACCCCAACTATCTGCCCTTCCGCAGCGGCTCCATCTACGTGGAGTCGGTCACGCAACAGTTCCAGAAGGTGTGCCCGCTCGCTCGCCCGCCCACTCGCCCCGCTCACCCACTCGCCCCGCTCACCCGATAAGCGCTGTTGCTAACGTACGGCGCGAAAGAAGTCCGACGTACATACGTACATCTCTCCCCCACCCCCCTCTGCGCGCGGCGTATATCCCAGGTGACCCTCGACAACGGCGTGTTCGTGCTGTGGGACGGCCGCTCCACCCTCTACATCACCGCGCCCAGCGTCATGATGGGACGCGTCCTCGGCCTGTGCGGAACGTTCAACCGCGTGCAGATGGACGACTTCCTCACCCCCGAAGGTGTCCGAGATCGACTGCGTGTGTGTGTGTGTGGGGGGGGGGGGGGGTGGGCGTAGACAAAACGGGGATCGCTCAAACCAAAACGAAACAAGAAACTATTTTTTATTTGACCAGGTAAGGTGCCCGCTGAGCTGTCTGGCTCCGCCTGGCCATCACAAATGATAGCCGGACGAAGTGGCTGTATCATCGCGTGGAGATTTATAGCAGCCAAACACTCTAAACGCGTGACATTGATACTAAATGTGGAGGGAAAAACCGGAGGACCTGGAGAGAAATCCACGCGACCACGGGGAGAGAGAGAGACGCAAACTCCAAATGCACAGCAGGCGTCGTCAGGGTCGGGATCGAACCCACGATCTCCTGTAGACCAGGCGAGGTAGTTAACATCTCCTAGCCACATCCACTGCACCAACCATGGTAGCAGGGATGCGGACACCCTGTGATTATTCAGAACAGAGGCCGTGCAACGTGTAAACGAGGGGTGGGGAACCTTTTCTCTGCCAAGGGCCATTTGGATACTTATAACATCATTCGTGGGCCATACTAAATTATCAATTAGCCTGTTATATTTGGTCAAACATTTAATTAACTCACCCCTAATGCGATGGCTGGAACTGCTTCTCTTTGGCGAGGCGTGTGATGTTAGCTGGTATTGATGATGTTGCTGCTACTCGCAACTGCTTTTCCAGGTTTGCTCCGAGATTTATTGAATTTCGAGTCCCGCCTGCAAGTTGTCTTGGTAGGGCCACACCAAATGATAAGGCCCGCAGGCCGGACGTTCCCCACCCCTGGTGTAAACGATCCAATGTCCCGATCCACAAATTCGAAGGAGACATCGCAGCGACGACGATACGCTACTCCGCTGCTCCTGCTGACGCGGTTATCTGGGCTTAACCACCTCAATGTGAAATTGTCGTTCTCGTTGCTCTGCATCAGCAGCCGTACAAAACCAAAAAAAGTCTCAAAGGTTACACGCGTGCTCTCCGAGCTTGTCGGCGGCGCACACACTCGCCCGCTCACGGCGTCGCGTCTCTCCCTCCGCGCGCGCAGGCGACATCGAGAGCAACTCGGTGAACTTCGGCAACCGCTGGAAGGCGCTGGCGTCGTGCGCCAACGTCGGCATCGAGCCGTACAGCCACCCGTGCGACCTCAACTCCCAGAGCCGCGCCTACGCGCACTCCCAGTGCGGCAAGATTCTGCTGGCGCCGTTCACTAGTAAGTGGTGGCCGGCGATCCGGGAAGCCGCAGGGTCCCCGGTGCGTGCGTGCGTGCGTGCGTGCGACCTCGGGACCGTGGGAAGGGTGAGGAAGTGTCCACCCGACAGCGGAAGTACAAGCGGCACGCTGGCCGGTGGGGTGGGCAAGCCCAGGGGTGGTGGTGATGCTGCTCGAACAAACTTCAGGGCGATCGTGGCCGGGAGTCGTCACCAAGCGGACCGTGGTTTTTGTTGTTACGACGGAATGTTCGTGGCTGCACACATCTTGTAGAACAGCGAAATATATATATATACGCTGTCTGATCGCTGCTTTTCCGAGAGCGTTATTGGGATGACGACTTCCAATCGGATCACAGTCAAAGGTCACATGACTGCCAATGGGTTGCATGATTTCTCCACTTTGCTCTCCTCCCTGCCTCTTCCCACGTGGCCTTTGCTCCTCTCCACTCTCTCCCTCTTTGCCTTCCTCCTCCTCCCCTCCTCTCCCCTCTCCTCGCCTTGTCTCGGGACGTCCCCTCTCGCCTCCTCCCCTTTCTTCCCCTTCTCTCTCCTACTCCCCTCTCCTCCTCTTCCCCTCTCCTCCCCTCTTCTCCACGTCTCCTGCCCATCTCCCTTCTCTGCTGCTCCCCCACTCTCTCTGCCCCACTCCTCGCCGCGCCTAATCACTCACTCACGCCCCCTCCCATTCCCCTCTCCTCCTCCCCCCCCTCTCCTCCGCCTGTGCGCAGAGTGTCACGAAGCGGTGAGCTACGCGGCGCACTACGAGTCGTGCCTCGTCGAAGTCTGCTCCGACCTCATGAAGCCCGTCCAGCGGATGTGCGACGCCTTCTCCACCTACTCCTTCCTCTGCGCCAAGGCCGGCGTCCTGCTCGACAGCTGGAGGAGCTCCATCCCTGAGTGCGGTGAGGGCCCCCCCCCCCCCCCCGGCCGCACGGTGGCTAAGCAGTCTCTTTGGCTGCCCATTTCGACCTGGACTACCTTCAAGATCGCTTGCCTCCGCTACCGCGCCCTAAAATGCAGCAACCCACCGTACCTAAGTTCTCTGTCGGCGCCTCAAACGCTTCAATTTATCGTAGAAATCCTCGCAGTGCATCGCAGAACCTCCTCGAAACTCCCAGGGCAAGGATCGTCATTGCCTGTCGCCGTTTCTCCATCACGGCCCCCCACGTCATTTGGAACGCCGTCCCCTGTTCACGTCCGTAACGATCAATCGTTTTCTTCGTTCAAAACCCGCCTAAAAGGCGCATCTCTAGAGCTCGACGTTTAACCGAGTTCTCCCCGGAACCTCGTGACGTAATCTGACACCGAGCTCGTAATAAGGAAGCCATTGCAGGGCTTGTACCCTTGAGGTTCCTCCCAAGCCAAACCCGAACCCTGACCCCGCTCCGGTGCAGTGGTCTCATGCCCACTGGTCAAGGTGTCCTCATGGTGCACCTCGAACTCTGTCTATCTTAACCCTTCTACCCTAACCTCCTACGATAACCCGAACCCTCTACCCTACCCCTCTACCCGAACCCTTACCCTTATCCTAACCCCCTACCGTAACTCCCTAACCCTTTACCCAACCGCTCTAACCTAATCCTGAACCCTAACCCAAACTCTCCGCCCCTGACCCCCTAACCCTGTCCGCCGCCCGCGCAGCGGTGACGTGCCCGGCGGACAAGGTGTTCTCGGAGTGCGCGCCGGCGTGCCAGGCGTCATGTGGCTCGCTGGCCGACCCGTCGCTCGCGAACTGCACGGAGCAGTGCGTGGAGGGCTGCACCTGCCCCGCGGGGCTCGTGCAGGACTACAGCGGCTTCTGCGTGCCACCCGAGGAGTGCCCGTGCGTGTGGCGCGGAGAGGTCTTCCCCGCCGGAGACGCGCGCTTCCAGGACTGCAACGTTTGGTGCGAACACCCGCCTGCTCGCACGCTCGCCCACTCATCCACTTGCATGACCACTCGCACGCTTGTTTTCCTACTTCCTCGCCTGCCCAGCCGCTCGCTCGTTCACCCACTCGGTCGTCTGTCTGCTCGCTCCCCTTTTGACTTGGATGCTCACTCACACGCTCATCCATTTTGCTCGGCTGTTCACCCACTCATTCACTTGCACACTCGCTCACTTGCATGTTCATTCTTTCGCCTAATCGCCCGCTCACACACTCGCAGGCTCACTTACCAGTTCACCCATTCACCCACTCACTGATCACCCGCTTAATTGTCCGCTCACCCACTCGCTCGCTCGCTCGCTCGCTCACCCATTCACTCACTCGCTCGCTCACCCGCGCACTCGCCTACAAACGCATGACACGCAGAGCAATGACCCTCCCTCCCTCTTCCTCCCTCTGCCTCCCTCTCGCCGCATGCCCGCCACAGCGAGTGCCACCTGGGCCAATGGGTGTGCACGGAGAACGACTGCAGCGCCAACATGACGTGCGGCCCCAACCAGGAGTTCGTGTCCTGCCTGGACCCCAACGTGGTGACGTGCGACAACATGCACCTGCCACGCAAAGTCTACCCCGTCGAGCGATGCTACTCTGGCTGCCAGTGAGCGCGACGCACGCACGATCGCACACACACACACGTGTCGCGTCGCTCGCTCACCGCGGACTGTCGCCGGGCTGCGGTGCCGATTGCTCACGCGGTCGCTCGCTAACTCGCTCGCTCGACCGGCCATCGCTTGGATTGCTCGGGAAATCAGATCTCACGGGAAATCAGATATCACCAAAATAGGGGGGAGTTAACGGGGAGGGGGGCGGTCTTGGTGACGTCGCCGTCGCCGCCGTCGTCGGCAGCGCCGCGCTGGGCGCGACTCGTTAGGAGGCTTCTCGCCTTCGGGGGGCGGCCAGAATGTTTAAAGGGCACTCTGTGTAATCGGGGTACCCTGTCCACTGTTTGGGTTTCGTGGCCACAATGGCACTCCTGCGCCTTCTGTCTTTAATGTTCCATTCGTGAAATGATCGACGTTCTTGTTGTTGTCATGATCATAATCTTCATTTATCCCGGAGATGACGCGAAGCTTGCTGTGCCGCTCTTCCCCCCCCCCCCCCCCCGTGTCCGTGTCCTGATGCAGGTGTGCGAACGGCACGGTGTGGGACACCTACAACCGGCTGTGCGTCCTCCCGGAGCACTGCCCCTGCTACCACGGCGGGAAGAGCTACAATGAGGGCGAGACCATGTCCATCGACTGCAACACCTGGTGAGCGGCACGGTACCCCCGGTCCGCTCTGTCGCCAGAGTGGCGGCACTCGCGACGCACGCACGCTGAACTTTTATTTCGCACCGTACGTAGCCGACCATGCTAATTGGAGGTACGGGGGGGGACGGACAACGACGCGAAAACGCACAAAGCCGTTGTTTGACGTCTGCCGCCGCCGCTGCTGCTGTTGGCCACGCAGAGAGGGAGGGAGGTGAGGGAGGGAGGGGGGTAAGGGAGAGCGGGAGGGACGGAGTCCGTGTGGTATTGCCGTCTCCCTCCCGTGGTCCGGCGCCTTGCGGGAGCTCGAGGCTTCGTCCTCTATGGCAGCGGCAACTCCACTCGGAACTTTAACAAAACAAACCTCTCCTCTCCCTTTCCCCGCCCCCCCCACAGCATGTGCCTCTCCCAGCAGTGGCAGTGCGAGTCGAAGGAGTGCGCGGCGGTGTGCAGCGCGTACGGCGCCTCGCACGTCACCACCTTCGACTGGGCGCCTCTACCGCTTCCAGGGCTCGTGCGAGTACGTGCTGGCGCGCGGCGTCGGCGCCGCGGCCACCGGCGCCGCGCCCGCGTGGAGCGTCACCATCGAGAACGTGCCCTGCGGCTCGATGGGAACCACCTGCACCAAGGCCATCACCTTCCGTGCCACCGACTCGCGCGGCAAGGTGCGGGGACCGGGGCTGGGCATTCGATGGAGGGGGTCGGGAGAGACTAATAACAAGAACCCTATGTGTCCTGACTTTTGGGCCACCCTGCACAACAGCAACCCAATGTGTCCTGACTTTTGGGCCACCCTGTACAACAGCAACCCTACGTGATCTGACTTTTGGGCCACCCTGTAAACACACACACACACACCGCCCGCCACGACTACGCTTTCCTTCTGGAACGACGCAGTCGCGTTCGAACGTTCACTCCCACCACCACGATCGCCGCCACCACGCATTTCCGGGTCACTCCGGCCCCATTTCTACCGCTGGCCACGTCGCTGCCGGTGCCGCCGGTGCCGCCGATTGTATCGCGCAGGCCGGCGGTGCCGGGCAGCAAGAGCGGTGACCTCGCGGCGCTCCTTTGCCGAGCCGATGCCGGATGAAGGCATGTGCCTGGCGAGCGTCACCAGCCAGGTCGCTTAGTCAAAGCAAAGACGGCGACGGGCTGGAGGTAAATGTAGGTCGACTCGGCCTAAAATGAGTACCCGATGATGATTACGCAGGGTGCGAACATCAGTGTTAGGGAGACAAAGGCGTCCGGTAGCGGTGTTGGCCACGCCACGCCCGTCGAACGCGGCGCCGGCCTTTACAGGTGCTGGCGAACAGTACTTGCCCTGACAGCCGTGAACAGAAGTGCCAATTTGTGACTGCTTCAGAAGCACCACGGGGGAGTGGCGGCGGCGGTGGTGGTGGTGCTGAGCGATCCACACGCGAGCGTTTCAAACAGGCGGGTGCGGACGTTTCGCCGATGGTTGCAACCGGCGTCATCAGGCGGCTGCCAGAATTGTGAAAATCCCCTCCAGTCTTGGGCCCTTTAACGTACATAATGCCACCCCTACGTGATGCCACCCCTACGCGATGCCACCCCTACGTGACGCCACCCCTGCCTTGACGGAACTCGCCAGGCCGGCTTGCCAGCCGACCAATCGAGGGCGAGGGGGGTGTTGAAACCTCCGTGCGTGTGTCCGCGCGTGCAGGACTGGTCCCTGCGCATGGTGCGCGGGCAACCAATCATGATGGAGCGCGGCTCCCCCTTTGGCGTCCGCTACGCGGGACTCTGGGTGTTCGTGGACACGCCACTGGGCGTCGTGCTGTCGTGGGACAAGGGCACCAGCCTGAGGCTGCGCGTGGAGCCCCAGTGGAGGGGCATGGTGAGCAACGGCAGCTGAGATGGGACACGGCATGGAGACCCCTAGGGCTCGGGATTCGCTGCTCGCTCGATGTTTTTGTGGAACGCCGCTCTGGCGGCTGGCTCGGGGTCGGGTTTTTTTATATTTTTATAAAAAACATTGTTTATTTTACCAGGTAAGGCCCAGTGGGCTATGTTATAGCGCTCTTTCAGAAGCAACCTGGCCACAAATATTCAACGAAGTGGCTTACCACGTGGACATTTATAACAGCCAAATACTCTAAAAGGCACAATTTCTAAATGCGGATTAAAAAAAAAACGGAGGATCCGGAGAAAAAGCCACGTGAACACACAGCGAGAGACACGCAGACTCCAAATATACAGCAGGTGCCAGGGTTGGGATCGAACCCACGGCCTCCTGCATACCAGGCGAGGTAGTTAACATCTCCTAGCCACCATGGCATAATGCACGCTCGCGAGAGAACGAGCTAGGCCTCTCCGTAGTAATCCGATATTACCGTAGCAGCTTCTACGATTTTACGAGCACGAAACACGGGGAGATGGACGTTGCGCGCCAAATTTGTTCGCGGAGCAGCGTTTTTTTGCGCTTGTTCCCGGTCGAAATTAAGCGCTGGTTATTAAAAGTCACGTGATTCGTTCGAATGGATAGAGAGAGAGACGCGTGATCATCCCGCAGCCATGTCGCTAAATATCGCGTCGTGGAATTGGGGTCACGGCCCCGTGATCCGAAGTCAGCGGCGATGCCCTTGCACGAATGCCAATCGGAAGAGCGGCGGCTGGCCGCGGGATCGTTTGTTTGACCTCCTCCGCGGGTTGTAGACGGCACACCGTTGTACGCGAAACGCGGAGCCCCGCGCCCCGCCCGCTGACTCCGATCGATCGGCCGGTCGCTCGCTCTGATTGTCGTCCCCCCCCCCCCGCCTCCCCCACCCCATACAGGCTGAAGGTCTGTGCGGAAACTTTGATGGCGACCAGATAAACGACTTCCGCACGCCACAGGGATTCGTCGTGCAGGGAGAATCCACGTTCGGGAACAGCTGGAAGGTGACAACACAAACGTCCACCCGCCCGCCCGCACCCACATGCGGATGCCGCCGTCTCTTGCATTAACATCATCGTCGTTGTCGTCCGAGTAATAATAATAAGAAGTGCATTTCGCATTCAAGCCGTTCATATAGGTGCCTGCGTTTCACAGGCAGGTATCGCCAGGATCAGAATCTTTATCTATCCTGGAGGAATCTGATGGGCTGTGAAGCACTTTTTTCACAGATGTCCAGTATAACACGTCGGCTTTCGCGACCAATATTATTATTACCCATAACCTACACTACGAAGATGTCCAGTAGCTTCACAGATGTCCAGTGGTCTGCCAGCAAGGGTCGACGTCGTGCGGAATCTGCGCCGTCCGCCGTAAAGCAGCCCGGCGGCAGTGTCTACGCAACCGTGGTCCCGTAACCCGGCACTCTGGGGAGTGGGGGGGGGCAGCATTGAGGGTTGGCAGATCTCTCGCACAAATGTTGTGAAACTCCCTTCCCGTGTGCGTTGAGGAGGAGCGCCTGGCCCTGGCTCGTCAGGAGAATGTGGACTCCACCTGTTCCCTCTGTAAGGGATAGAGCGTTGCCCCTTCTCACGCGTGGGTTTTCTCTACGGGTGAATCGGTTTCCTCCCACAAGTAAACGCTCACCAATTGGCTGAGAACACCTCAATGTACAGAGGACCGCAGAGCTTGAGGGGAATTTGGTGCCGGTCGTCCATAGTTCCTCCTCGCGTCTCTGAGTCATCCCCTCCTCTCTCTCTCTCTCTGTACGAGAATTGAGCAAAGATCGTGGCGGTGGTGGTGCAGCGTTACAAGTTGTCATGAATAATTATTCTGCTCACATCCGCCGTAACTAATATTTCGTGGGGTTCGTGGCAGAGGGAAGGAAGTGATGGCGCGCGGTGGCAGCGTAAACGCCGGCGGTCTTGCCGACCGCCAGATCTGACATTTGTTTGTCGTAACGCTCTGACCCCGTGCGCCAACTGGACATCTGTGAAAACAAGAGCTTGATAGCTCATCGGATTCCTCCTGCAGTACTAACTAAAACATTCCGACTCTGACGTTGATGGATGCTGCCCTCGCCGCCGCCCTCTCCCTGCCGCTGACCCCCCCCCCCCCCCCCCCACAGGTACGCGACTACTGCGCGGACTCGTACGTGCTGGGAGACACGTGCACCAACCCGCTGAGGCAGGCGTGGGCCCAGCGCAAGTGCGGGATCATCCAGTCGGAGACCTTCAAGCCCTGCCACGACCACGTGAGCGCACAGTGACAAAGACACGCAACTATCCCCGCCCATTACAAAAAATAACGAACGTTCTATCGTCGCGATTTTTCTTCGTAAGTGTGCCGATAGGTTCTCTCCCTCCGCCTTCCCCGAGTTGTTTTCTGCCGCCTCAACGTTCCGTGTACAGAAAATTAAATCTATAAAAAATAAAAATATAGGGGCAAGTGGCGTTAGTAGCGAGTAGCAGCACCTAACCTAGGCCGGCACTGTGGCACGCGAGGGAGCGGGTGGCCAGCTACCACGCCGCAGTGCCCCGACGATTGCACGCTTGAACCGGCTTCTCATGTAAGATGGAGTCAGCCCAGGGGAGGCCCACGTGCGGTGCAAGCACTTGCTGCTTTTTTCTGTTTAGTGTTTGTTGTCCTTCACCCGAACCCCCGATTAGCACGGTTGGCTACGTACGGTGCAAAAGAAGTTCAACATACATACATACTTACCACAAAAGTCTGTTAAGGCTATATGCGGGGGGGGGTGGTATGTATGCGGAGTTCTGCTTCCATGTGCTTTTGGGCGTAGGCGTGATCACACGGTGATTCAGTCACAGGCTGGGTTTGTCTCCGAGTCACTGGTAGGCCGGGGCAGTAAGATGGCGCGTTGAGGAGTAGCGGCCGCGGCCGTAGCGAGAGCCGTGCTTGACGTGGTGCGTGCTGGGTGCCGGACGCTATTCTCCGGGGTCGCCGACCGCGACGAGACTCGGGTCGTAGTCGCGGTCGTCACTCCGGCAGATCCGTCTGTGGGCACGGCGCGGGTCGACCGCGACGCCACGTGACCCCGCGTCTCCCTCCTTGACCTTCCGCCCCCCCGCCCACCTCCCCCGCCGCGCCCCCCAGGTGAGCTGGGAGTCGTTCTACGAGAACTGCGTGCAAGACGCGTGCTCGTGCGACACGGGCGGCGACTGCGAGTGTCTGTGCACGGCCGTGGCGGCCTACGGACAGGAGTGCAACCGCAAGGGCGTCTACATCTACTGGAGGAACCAGGAGTTCTGCCGTGAGTGACGCCGCCGCCGCACACCCCAGTATCCGCGCAACGTTTGGCCGACGTTGGCGCGTGGTCGAAAACCGCTGGGCCGACGTTTGGCTCGGCGTTTCCTCGTTTACTGGGACGTGACCACATCGTTTTGCGTTCGCGAGTTTGCGTACGTTTGGTATGTGTCTTGCGTGTGTGTGGGTGTGTCAGGGGCGGTGCAGCGATTAGCTACTAACCTGGCGACCCGAGCTCACGGCCAACGCCGACGTTATCTGAACCGGTCCTGGGCCTCCCCTAGGTCGACTCAGCCTCAAATGAGTACCTGGTGCAGTGTGTAAACATTGCCACTGGGGAGACAAAGGCGGTCGGGTGCGGTGCTGGCCTCCCACCTCCTCGTGTGCTTTGCCGGCCTTAATAAATGCTCGCCAACAGCACTTGCCCCGAAAGTCTGCAAAGTCTATACGGGGGACCTTTGTCTTTGTTCCACGCGTAGCCATGCAGTGCGACGGCTGCATGGAGTACAACCCGTGCGTGTCCGCGTGCCCCATGACGTGCCGGAACATCCACAACTACAACGAGGTCCTCGCCAACTGCAACGACACCTGCGTGGAGGGCTGCTCCTGCCTGCACGACTTTGTGAGGACGCGCACACGCACACGCACGCACACGCATGCGTGCACATGCACGCACGTACATGCGCACGCATGCACACACGCATGCGTGCATATGCACGTCGACTCAGACTCGATTGTTTGGCTCGGGACGAGGCTTCGTTTCGGAACGAGGGTGAGGGTTGACGTTTATATATTAGGGTTAGCTTTGGGACTAGAGTTCAGATTTGGAGTTAGGGTTTGGTGGAGTTATGATCAGGTTAAAGGGTTACTGGTTTGGAGTAGGATTGTGGTTATGGGTTAAGGTTGGGAGTTTTTCATTCTCTTAGTCTCGCCAACCCGAGTCAATCTCTTAATGTTCGTATGTAGCCACCGCAATGTCGACTGCCGTGAGTATCTCGGATCCGCGCCTTCGGTCAGACTCCTTGATGTCGTCTTGCCATGGCCAGTGACGATGAAATCATCGGTGGGAAGTGGCAGTCGTCGTATTCGCACCTCCGATGACCGTGGTTAACTACGTACGACGCGAAAGAAGTTCGACACGTGTACATATGTACGCATGTAGTTGTCGTGACGATGCTCGTACGCTCACGGTCGTCGGGGGGACAACTGAATCCGAGAGTTTATTTTTAGTGGGTCACGATAAGAAAGACAACACTTTGTTAACAAACTGAACGCTGATCCTTGCTATGTGTGTACCTCTCTCACGGCTGTGATATGCAGGTTCTGGATGAGTACTCGCAAAAGTGCATCGACCCCGTCGACTGCGTGTGCAAGTACATCGATGGAGTTGCCTTCATGGACGGAGACAAAATCCAGATTCTGTCCGACCAGTACCGAAGCTGGTGAGTTACCAGCCCGCAGGTCAGCCGGCGGCAAACGTATAACGTCCTACGTGGTGGGCACAAATAAAGCTGCCAAATATCCAGGAAGGTCAACACGTGGTCAGCCGGCAGCCCCTCCCTCCATCAGCCCCGCCCACCTTACTCTACGCCTACTGCTCATAGGCCCCGCCTACTCATTTGGCAACCCAGACCCACTACTCAGGTGCAGAGGTGGCAAACGGGTTTTGATTCCTTACCCGTACTCGGCCGCACCAGGGTCGCAAACGGGTACCCGTACCCTACCCGATACCCGATACCCGGCTACCCGTACCCGGCCGGGTATCGGGTAGGGTATGGGTACGAGTACCCGATTGCGACCTCTGGGATGAAGCCATGTTGCAGGCGCGGGTGGGTTGATTCTAGGAACTTGAATTGTGAGAAGAGACAAGACTTTGGGAAATGAGTGATAAACGGTGACTCACCACTGACTCACGGCCTACCCGTACCCGTACCCGGCCGCACCAGGGTCGCAAACAGGTACCCGTACCCGGCCGGGTACGGGTAGCCGGGTATCGGGTAGGGTACGGGTATCGGGTAGGGTACGGGTATCGGGTACCCGGTTGCGACCTCTACTCAGGTGGCCCCCGAATCTTGCCCCCGTTTCTTGAGTCGAGTCGTGAAGCCGGAACATTCTTAACTCGCGAAAAAATCCCGATGGTTTTGGGACACCCGGGCTGTGCTCTGGCCAAGCCCTGACGACTGCAGAGAATAGTGAAGCGTGCGGGCACCTCTCGAGGAACTCAGGCCACCCTAGCCCCTCAATAGAGGACCCCGATCACGCGATTCTCGCTTCTCTGCGTCGCAGCCCAACGGTAGTGGCACTGGCAATCTCCGGAGTGAATTTAAACGTTTGACCTTCCGTGTTGATTTTTTGTCACGGCGACTTGAATTTTTCTCGTGTCGTGTCTCACCAACAGCTACTGCATCGACAATGAGGTGCAGTGCATCGGTCTGCCCGGATTCGGCAAAGCTCCAGACGCAGGTACGGCTGCCGATGCTGCCACTCCACACCTCCGGTTAGCACGGTTGGCTACGTACCGTGCGAAATGAGTTTGACGTACATACATATACATACTCTGGGTAGCCAAGACACGTGCGAACCCAGGCTGGCTGGAATCGGGCACCTCGAGGATCCTTAGCGTTTAGTAGTGTCAGTGACACCAGGGTCGCCTGCGTGAAGAAGAGCAACATCTCACGAGTCAGGCGAGTGTTGCCAATGACGTGTTCCGTGAATTGAGCATTCCCCCTGCGTTCAGTAGGTACACTCCGCACCTCTGATTAGCGCGGTTGGCCACGTACGGCGCGAGAGAAGTTGAACGTACGTCCGTACTATACGCGGCGTCCGATCATCGTGAACAGTCGTTTAATCGCAGCTGGCCCCGCGAACACGACCACGCCTTTCGGAGCTCACCAATCTGGTTCTCACCAATCTGGCTGGACCACGCGCTGTCCTGCACAACGTCCGACGTTTCGTAGCACGTGCCTGGGAGCTTCGGCTTCAGGAACTTAATCGAGGGGCTTCCCTTTTCTCTCCCTCGATCGCGTGGTGTTGCCGGCTGCTACCTGGCGCTGCCAGTTCCCGAAGCGCCGGTTGGTTCAGAACCAAGTAGCGCCAGCACGAGCCACCAAGGCGATGTAACCGAGCGCATAAGTGAGCTGCTCAGTTCACTTCCTGAAGAAGCCCTTCAGCACCTGCCATTAAACACATCGGAGAAACCGTGCAGCGCGACCGCAAACAAAAACCAACGCGGTCGTGCACGAAGATACTTTGGATTTGCGACGACGTCGAAACGAATTAACGTGACCTTATCCTCCTCCTCCTCCCCCTCTGCCGACAGTCGATCTGTTGTACGGCTTGCCCGGCGACCTGTATGGTGGAGCCAGGCCCCAGGGCCTGCTGTGGGACGCGCCGGCCAGCCAGCCGCTCAGCGCTGTGGCCAGCGGCCTCCTTGGCGTCCCGTTCATCGCTCCCAACGGTGAGTGGGCGGCACCGGCATCGGAAACAAAGCGACGGCTGAAATTGAGACCTGTGATTACGAAGCACGCATCGAAAAATCGCGAACTCCGGTCATTGTCACAGCGGCTTGAAGGCTAACCGTCAAACAAAGACGGTCGCCGCATTGCGCGGCGCTTTCAGACGCGCTTCTGCGGCTGTCTGGAACGCTCTTCCTTCCGAATTAGGCAGCCACTGTGACCTACGCACTTTTAAATCATCTAGATTGAGAACTAATTTCTTTAGAGCGGCTTTTTTGTTTAGTTTGTTGTCCTTCACCCGCACCTGCGATTAGCACGGTTGGCTCCGTGCATTGCGAAAAAAGTTCAACATACATACGTACAACACAGCTATGTAGTGAAATTGCATCGCGATTGGTTCATCTGTAATAAGAGGATATTACACATCTTTATGAGAGATATAGTGACCTCCCTTTACGGACAGCTTATTGACGATTCGTATTTGAAATGTGCGTTGTACACCCTCATCCACCTGACACAAACCAATAAATAAAAGTTGTCACGGGAACAAAAGTGCCAATTTATGACTGCTTCAGAAGCACCACAGGGCAGTGGCGGTGGTTGTGATGAGCGATCCACACGCGTGTGTTTAACAGGCGGGTGCGGACGTTTTGCCGATAGTTGCAACCGGCATCATCAGGTGGTTGCCAGAATTGTGAAAATTCCCTCCAGTCTTGCGCCTGAAATAGGTGGCGGCGATGTCATCAGCGTGGCAGGAAGTGACACCTAAGAGTTTAACGTAATGCCATAAATTGTAATGCTCCTTTAGCTTATGTCTTAGAGCAGGGGTCGGCTAACAGAATAACAACAATGGCCATTTTCGTCCGAATTTACTCAAAGAAACCCTCAATATTTCACGAGCCGCAATGCATCGTGGTGTATACGAGACGGTGGGTCCTTAATAAAAAATAATGTCCTGAAGCGGCCCTGAAAGAGTCGCACGCGGCTCTGGTGCCACACGGGTTGCCGACTCACGCTTGCAACCTCAGCTTTTAAAACTCGGTTGGAGGGCGTTCACAAAGGAATAGATTTTTTTGAATCCACATGTTCCATCTGTATGGGATAGACCTCTCATGCGGTGTATTATTTCAGGCCTTCCCAAAGTTAATTCCTTCTGAACCACCATTGTCAACCAATCATCCGTGTCCCAAAATAAATCAACTGATTCTATGCTGCACGAGGCCTGATGGTTTGGTAAAGACGTCCCTCCGAAACGCAGAGAGTGCCGATCCGCATTGAGATGGAGACCTTCACTGCAGTTTGCCCATCGTCGGCCACGCACAGCGCGTAGACAGCAAATGTGGACCTCACCTGCTTCGTCTGTATGGCATTGAGCGTTTGCCCCCTAGCTCGTATGGGTTTTGGCTCGTAGCACCTTGATATGGAGAACGATCGCAGAGCTTGGGCAATTGTTGGTGCCAGCTCACCAGGCGGTCGCCTTCCCGTTCATCTGTGGTTTCTTGAGCCTTCGAGTCGTTCCCTCCCTCTACGCAAGCGAGCGATGCGCGCATTACGAGCCCCAAACTATTATCATCATCATCATTAATGCGAACTAACCCGAATTCAACACCCCCTTCCACTCGCAGCCGACTGCCCGCCCGACCAACTGGTGCCTTGCGCCTACACGTGCGGCGGCATCTGCCAGGCGTACCAGCTGCTTGTGCCGGGCTGCCTGGGCGGAGACTGCTCCACGTGCATCGACGTTTGCGGCAACTACACCAAGTGTGACGCTGGGCAGCTCCTGACGGTCGACGCGCAGTGCGTGGACCCCATCGACTGCCAATGCCGCCTGCCCAACGGGACCGTGATCCCGGTAAGGCTTAGACCATCAACTCGCCGCAGTCGAGAAGCCCGGTTTCATCGCGGCTCTTGTCTTTTGTGAGTCTCTGGTCCCTCTATTTAGAGCCTTTAGGTGTCTATATAAGTCATTGGTGATCTGGCTGAGGCCATCAATTCGCTGTACTTGAGAACTTGGTTTAATTGCAGGTGGCTGAAACTCAGTTCCAACCAAGAAAACTCACCACTTCCGGCTCAGCGCTCTAGGACCTCTGAGAAAGCAACACTTTTCCAGAAATGAAAAGAAGAAACTGAGATACATTGTTGTTATTATTAATCTATATACTAAACTCGTTTCATTTTAGCAGGTAAAGCCCACTTGAGCTATGTAGCTCTTTTTCAGAAGTGACCTGGCCACAAATGATAGCTCAATGAAGTGGCTAAATTCTGTACAATTCGAGTACCAACAATTGAAAATGTTGTGGGTTTACTCTCCAACACACCGGTGTACTCAACTAGTGACGAATTGGCACGTTCTGTTTACATGACAAACCTTACTAATTGGCTGTGTCGAGTGGTGGCGGTTTGAACGACGCATTTATATTTACGCGATCTTACTCAAAAAACCGCTATTATGGATCAAAACATTTACATCATTAATATCATACACCTTAATCCTACAGTAAAATTACACTTGTTTCTAAAATATATCAACAATTAAAGCATACATACACATTTAATAGTTTTGTTAAAGTAGCACATTTAACCTCTTGTAGATTTTATGTTTAAAATAATATTTTGCTAAATAGTAGCAACAAAAATGTGTGTGTTTTTTTTTAAGTGACGTGAATTTGTTATGGATAATAGCAGGGTTCAGAACGAGAACATTTATGAGAATAATTAGAGAAAGGAGAAGTTCGATTTCTTGGACACGCAATGAGAAAACAAGAGCTAATATGAAACGTGTTTTGTCTAGAATAAGAAGCTGGGGAAAGACAGCCAACGAAGAATGTAAGCAATGAGAACATTCGGATGCAAATGAGAGTATCTAATGGCATGTTCTTGCGGAAATATCATGGACAGACCAAAAGGCAGGGAAGGTCATGATCTGCTGCGTCTTTAACAAAGGAGACGGGGCATAGAGAGCATATTTATTTGTGATACTGACTGATTGTATAACGCTGGATTTCTATTTAGCCCTCAGGAATGGTGTCTGACTGGGATACGTGCAGAAGATATTACTGTTGGAACAATGAACTTAAGGAGTATGACATTCAAGGGTGCATTCCAGGCATAAACACGACGTGCACGGAAGCAATATCTCCAAGTCTGTTAACCAAGATAACAGACATTGCATGCATATCACAGTGTTCACCCTACAACCCAGCAGTGGTTATTCCTCAACCAACAACAATCACAGTGTGTGATTCATCACAGGCCATACAGAATGAAAAAGGGTTACTACCAGCAACAACGATATGCACTCAAGCTGAACTTAATATTCCATGTTCAGTACAATATGAAACGACCACCTGCACCAGCGGAGGCAGCGTGATCACCGTACCGTCTCCATGCCAATGGAGCGACATTTGCAAGACCTCCACCTCTGGCATCGTCCCTTGCTCTACTGTTGTGG